TCTGACACTGTGCAAATCTTGCCAGCAATCGGTCCAGCGTCGCCAGGTTGCTGTCGAAATCCTCGCCACCGAAGCAAATATCATCCACAAACGATCGTCGACCAAACACAGGTACCAGCGATGATTCGTCTGGCCCCCCGTTCGTAAACATGTCAGCGATGGGGCGGTTGACGAGTTGTAGTACAGGGTCGGCCTCCACCGGTGCTTCGCGGTCTGCCGCGAACTTCGTTTGAAACGAACCCGCGGTGCTTGGCCCACGACGTTCCTTGGCCTGTTCTTCAGCTGAACGCATCCTCTCCGAGTATTCAAACCAACCTCCTTTAGGTTGAACGAACCCCCAGAGTGCGTTGTCAATCATATCGCTGGTAGACCATCGGCGCGTTCTTTAATCCAAAGGGCATGCGCAACCACTCGAAGTGTCCGAGTGCGCGGACAAACGCCGATACTTTAAGTGCTCGCAAGGTCATCATGACGCCCAGAAGCCGCTTGCTGCATCCAGCGAGCAGAACCATAGGTAGCATTCGAGATCAGTCTACAGACGTCGACTAGCGGCATTGCGTACTCCATGATCGCAGTGATAGCATTCACCATCTTGTAATCAATGCAGAGCCGGATGTCCAGCCCGTTCTTTTTCATCACAATCACGATCGGTGATGCCCATTGACTGTATGAAAAGACGATCAGTCCCGCACGCAATAAAGCGCGCAGCAGCTCGTACAGCTTGCCGAGAAATCGTAGCGGCACGCGCCGGGCACACTGTTTAATTGGGGCGTGTCCCTGTGTGTCGATATCGCATACCGGTAGTGCGTTACCACTAGCAATCAGGATGTGCTCGTGGTTTCTTTAGCGTCGCGACCAGACGTTTCTCGGCGTTTCAGCCGACAGCTCAGATCAGCAACATTAGGCGCAGTGTAGTCAATTGTCGTGTTGATCTCTTCGGTCAGATCCGGCAGGAATGCCAGCTCCTTCGCGTAGTCGTCCAAGCCAATGTTGTTAGCTGGGTGTTCGTAGAAATCATTTCTCGTATCCTCCGTTGCTTCATTTCCCTCGGTTGTTAACACTCGAGCAACCGAGATGCATGTTCCGTCCAACGCCGCTACGGATTCTTCCCTTGACTCAACATTGGCATCCGCTTTGATTTCAACAGTCGGTACTTGGTCCATCTCCTTCCCATCCTGGTTTATCATCTCTGGGCCATCTGCCGAGTCGTCGTTCGCAATATTGAATGCGAGGGCCGCCGACATATTGGGTTGTTGACTTTTGTTCAGCTCCTCGTTCTGCCGCTGTCTTGACATTTCGGAATTTGCACCAATCTTGCAATGAATACTCGGTGCCGTACTCAACACCTTCTGCGCGATGCCTGTTTCCTCTGGATCAACCACCGATGGCCCGTTCGCAGATTTGGTGACACACAAGGCCGGGACAGCTTCGTCAAAACGGGTGACTCCATTCATTCCAGTGCCGTTGCTTCTCGCTTCCGTGGTCACCCCTGACTGGACACTAACACTCGTTGGCGTATGTACCACGTTTACCGGCCTCAGTAGTTCGTGTGTACGCACTACCGAGGCTTCGTTCGCGTTATTGCCTCCGCCATGGGTTGTCGTGTACGTGTCCAAAGGTTCTGCGGAAGGCTGACCGTCGGTCGAATCCCCGGCTGTCACCCCAGACGCCAGACAGGCTTCCACTCGTTCACGTTCTTCCAGGATCAGTGCCCAGCGCTCTGCACACGTCAGACGATCACTAGAATCCACTAGCGAGTCTTCTAGAGGTCGTGCTAGCACCCCACTGGGTTCTGGATAGTCCGGTCGATCAACTACCGAAGGCTGAGTTGCAAGCCATTGTTCGTAAATTTCACATTCACGCTGGAAGAGCTCGCGGTCTCTACAGCCTTCGTAGGCCACACTTGCCAGTCTTGGTACTTCTTGGACTCCAGACGCACATAGCCGTCACCTCGTGGCAAATCCCCATCTGGAAATCCACATCGCGATCGAATCGTGTGCACAGGACGATTAGACACGTTGGTCAATCGAATGCTCTGAGGCCGTCCGCGGTGAAACCTCGTTACTGACGGGATTAGCTTGTTCGTTCGACGAACCCACAGCACGTGTTCCTCCAGACCGACGTGGCGCTTCGCTAGTCGATAATCTCGCCACTCGTGCGCTTGAAGGTCCAAACGCTCGGGTGGCCCGGCGTTAACATGGGAGCCGTATTCTGCGCTGTCGATCATGTTCTTGGTCTTAATCAGCGGGATTTGAACTTCGTGTGGTAATTGCGCCGCGCCGTGAAACAGGTCCAACCGGATCCCAGCTGGGATCATAAAGTCGGTCCCGATATTTGGGAGCACCTTCTATTAGCCAAAACAGACGCCAAACAAAAGGCCAAACACACGCATACTCACACACAACCAAGCGCACCACATCAAGGCCACGCGCATTGCCGCCTTCAACATTGCATCCAGCACCTTTAAAGACCTTTACCACGCAGGAGCTGTTGTTGTGAGCCTGAATTAGGTACCGCCGTTCTCGCCACGCTTACCCTCCGGCTGGTCGTTGCCCCTGCAAGTGCTAAGCCGAACTACTCTCCATTACCGGCCATACAGTCATCCGAACGTCGTACCAGCAAGCACAACGAGCGCTATATACATGGCGGAACGAAGAATTGAAAAAGCAAAGCAAAATTCCCAAACCGGGACTCGAACCCGGGTCGCGTGGGTGAAAGCCACGTATCCTAAACCGCCTAGACTATTTGGGAGCACCTTCTATTAGCCAAAACAAACGCCAAACAAAAGGCCAAACACACGCATACTCACACACAACCAAGCGCACCACATCAAGGCCACGCGCATTGCCGCCTTCAACATTGCATCCAGCACCTTCAAAGACCTTTACCACGCAGGAGCTGTTGTTGTGAACCTGAATTAGATACCGCCGTTCTCGCCACGCTTACCCACCGGCTGGTCGTTGCCCCTGCGAGTGCTAAGCCGAACTACTCTCCATTACCGGCCATACAGTCATCCGAACGTCGTACCAGCAAGCACAACGAGCGCTATATACATGGCGGAACGAAGAATTGAAAAAGCAAAGCAAAATTCCCAAACCGGGACTCGAACCCGGGTCGCGTGGGTGAAAGCCACGTATCCTAACCGCCTAGACTATTTGGGAGCACCTTCTACTAACCAAAACAGACGCCAAACAAAAGGCCAAACACACGCATACTCACACACAACCAAGCGCACCACATCAAGGCCACGCGCATTGCCGCCTTCAACATTGCATCCAGCACCTTCAAAGACCTTTACCACGCAGGAGCTGTTGTTGTGAACCTGAATTAGATACCGCCGTTCTCGCCACGCTTACCCTCCGGCTGGTCGTTGCCCCTGCGAGTGCTAAGCCGAACTACTCTCCATTACCGGCCATACAGTCATCCGAACGTCGTACCAGCAAGCACAACGAGCGCTATATACATGGCGGAACGAAGAATTGAAAAAGCAAAGCAAAATTCCCAAACCGGGACTCGAACCCGGGTCGCGTGGGTGAAAGCCACGTATCCTAACCGCCTAGACTATTTGGGAGCACCTTCTATTAACCAAAACAAACGCCAAACAAAAGGCCAAACACACGCATACTCACACACAACCAAGAGCACCACATCAAGGCCACGCGCATTGCCGCCTTCAACATTGCATCCAGCACCTTCAAAGACCTTTACCACGCAGGAGCTGTTGTTGTGAACCTGAATTAGGTACCGCCGTTCTCGTCACGCTTACCCTCCGGCTGGTCGTTGCCCCTGCGAGTGCTAAGCCGAACTACTCTCCATTACCGGCCATACAGTCATCCGAACGTCGTACCAGCAAGCACAACGAGCGCTATATACATGGCGGAACGAAGAATTGAAAAAGCAAAGCAAAATTCCCAAACCGGGACTCGAACCCGGGTCGCGTGGGTGAAAGCCACGTATCCTAACCGCCTAGACTATTTGGGAGCACCTTCTATTAACCAAAACAAACGCCAAACAAAAGGCCAAGCTCACGCATACTCACACACAACCAAGCGCACCACATCAAGGCCACGCGCATTGCCGCCTTCAACATTGCATCCAGCACCTTCAAAGACCTTTACCACGCAGGAGCTGTTGTTGTGAACCTGAATTAGGTACCGCCGTTCTCGCCACGCTTACCCTCCGGCTGGTCGTTGCCCCCTGCGAGTGCTAAGCCGAACTACTTCTCCATTACCCGGGCATACAAGTCATCCGAACGTCGTACCCAGCAAAGCACAACGGAGCACTATATACTTGGGCGGCACCGAAGAAATTGAAAAAGCAAAGCTAAAATTCCCCAAACCGGGGACTCCAAACCCGGGTCGCGGGGGGTGGAAAGCCCACGTATCTTAGACCCGCCTAAGCATAGTTGGGGAGCACCCTTTC